GTTTGGCCTGTCTTTAAGTGGCTACCAGGGAGCTTGTGACTCTGCTGCTGCCTCGTACTGAAGAGCTGTCGTGGAACATATTACTGACCTGGGAAAGATAGAAACTCAGTTTGAAGTGCGGTTTCTACACAATGTATACTGCTTCCATGCTATTATAAGGAAAAAGTAAGTCAGCCTATTGCAAATCAGGGACAATCTATATATGCCTGGCCAGCACACCTTCAAACTTTGGATACCCATAAACACTTAGGCATGCAGTTTCCTGGGGAGAAAATACAAGAAACATTTGTACTTTATTTTGATATCAAGGAATATCTCTGCAAGGAAGAGATATTTTTTTCTCTCTGTTCTCTGCAAGGAAGATCAGGGGGGAAAATCAAGGAAAGAATATAATAATACTAGTGAAAGAAAAATTTCCAGAGCTAATGAGACTATGGAGACGTCAGTCAGAAAAAGGCCCTCTTGGTATACTAAACATAAGAATACGTGTGGTTAAAAGTCAGACCTAGGTTTATGAGAAAGTTAAAAAATTAATTATTTATGGAAAAGGAAATGCAGATCATCATTACAGTTTTCATCAAAAATACTGGATATTTGATAGTCTGATATTCTTCATCAGACATGAGGACAATCAATTTCTAGACATGGAAAGACATAGAATGAGAGTATTTTTATGTGTATCTTTTTTTGACATGAAATTATTAGAGAATATACTTTAGAAAAATGAGAAAGGGACCCATAGGGGAAGATATCATCGAACCTAAGAAAATGGAAGTGTCACTGTATAGGCAGGAGGAAAAGGAAGGATGCAGCAAACCTGGGGAATAGATGATCCAGGTGAGAACAAGGCAATAAAGATGGCAGTACACACCCTACAGGAGTGGTCGGAGAATCGCTGCGCAGACCCAGGGACCCAGCTCAGGTTCTCAGGGTTGCATGCAAGCTTTTTAACCTCACTGATCCAGCCTACAGCTGGGGGGAGGGGGGGACAGAGAGAGAGGTGTTCTAAGCAGTTGTTAAGCCTCCCTGAATGGTGAAGATTTAACAAGTACAGTTTAAAACTGACAAATAGTAAAAGTAAAGGTTGTAACTGCAAGAATTAAATTTTTGTTTTGATGTCATTTTGACCAAAAATATCTGCCTTTATTTTTTTACACTTTTAGAGAATTAAACCATTAGAAGGGGAAGTCAAACTATATTTTTACTTTGTGTGTGTATGTGTATACATAGGTTATTTATTAGAACCACATGAGTAAATACTGTGTAGATAGTACATAAGCAAATAGGTGAAGTTCGTCTTGAGTTAATTGCCTATTTTATTAATTTGTCTGTTGCCTTGTGATACTCTCTTATTAAAAAAAATAGACAGGTGGGCTAGAGAGATGGCTCAGTGGTTAAGAGCACTAGCTGCTCTTCCAGAGGTCCTGAGTTCAATTCCCAGCAACCACATGGTGGCTCACAACCATCTCTAGTGAGATCTGGTGCCCTCTTCTGGCATGTAAGCAGAAGACTGCATGCATAATCAATAAATTAAAATATTTTTAACAAACAAAAAAAATAGACAGGGCCTGGAGAGGTGGCTCAGAGGTTAAGAGCACACACTGCTCTTGCAGAGAACCCAAAGCCCAGTTGTTAGTATCCGTGCTGGGTGCCTAAGATCACTTGTAATTGCAGCTCTAGGGAATCTAACACACACACACACACACACGTGCACACACACATACACTCACACACACACACAGAGTTAAAAATACTAAAAATGTATCTTTAAAAAAATAGACAAATAATGAGTAAAAATGGTAAGATAAAATAAAAATCTGAGAATTCGTACTTGTATGAATATGTATAAGTTGTCTCTGGAAAATACTGCTGATTGACCCATATTGTTAATCACCAAGTAATTGTCAATTTAAATATGTTTTATACCCATAAATTTATTGATTAGTCCTTTTGAATTTAAAACATTTTAGAATTTGTGTTACTAATGGGTAAGTTGAGTTTTCAGGCTAGCTCAAAAGAACCTTTTAAAAACAGGTTATCTTAGGATTACTTTGAAATTTAGTCCCTATCTTTTTATACCATGGTTTTCATGTAAAAACTCGTATGTAGTGAAGAATAGCAAGTCTTATCTTCCTCTCTGTGTGACTTCTAGCGTTGGATTGGCCTGTAAACATTAAAAAAGTTTGCGTATTGCCAGGAAGTGGTAGCACACACCTTTAATTCCAGCATTTGAGAGGCAGACGCAGGAAGATCTCTTTTGAGTTTGAGGCCAGCCTGGTCTTTAGAGTGCGTTTCAGGACAGCCAAGGCTACATAGAGAAACCCTGTTTCTGGGGGGGGGGGAAGTTTGGGTGCTGAGAAAGTAGCAAAGTTTCTTATAGGCATTAATAATTTAACAAATCCCAAGACAAAGTTCACTGGGTTTCCACCATACCTAACAAAGGCATTTTCTGTAACTATTTCATCTACAGATCAGTCTTTCTGAATTAGAAACATGAACCCTGCTTCATTTTCTGTTTTATATTCTTTGGCTGAGTGGCCAACACCTTTAATGATCAATAGTTATAACTAGGATTTATACTTCAAGTTTATTGTTAATACTTTGAATGTAAGTATTAAGGCTTGCTGATAACTTTGATAGTATCTTTATTTTCTTTATTTTTCTGTGGAAAGACACAGAAGTTACTTAGTTTTTGCTTTCTCAGAAAAGCTAATTTCTAAGTTTGGAGCCAGTTTTTAGGTTACCATAAAGCTGACTTCCACAACAGTATTCTGACTGTTTTTTTTAAAGGAAGGCAGTATAAGAAGACTGCTTCTGTCATTTGCTTCTTTATGAAAATGTTGAAAAGTACTTAGGGAGGGGCAGGAATGGGAGGACTAGATATTGTCATTGTAAAATAATAAAAAGTAAAATTCTAATGTTTTAATAGTAAGGTGCTTGTGAGTGAAGAGGAAGTAGAAAACCCTAAAACATACAGTTTACCTCAAGTTTATTCACTACACAAATTGGTATTTTAAATTCTTTTTTGGGTAGTTTTTGGAATGACACCCGGGGCCTCCTATACTAGGTAAGCACTGTACTACAGAGCTTTAGCACTGCCCTTAGAACTTGATCCAGAGGAGAAAATTATAATGTGTTAATCTGCTATGATACTTTCATAAAAATCTTACAGAATTTGTCCAGTGGTGGTGCACTTTTAATCTCAGCACTCTGGAAGCAGAGGCAGACATCTCTGAGTTCGAGGCTAGCCTGGTCTACAGAGCAAGTTCCAGGGCAGCCAGGGTGACATAAAGAAATCCTGTCTTGAAAAAACAAAAGAAAGAAAGAATCTTAGAAAACTTTTGTTTCATACATGATGTTCTCACAAGGGCAGTAAAACTTCTCCACAGAATCTAGTACTAACAATTAATGACTTTTTCTAGTATTTTAAAGTAAATGCCTTGAGATCTTCTTTAGGATTTTCTCATTATTGCTGAGCAAGGGAAGTTCTGAGAAATCCAGGACTCCATGACCCTTTCTTCTTGATCAGTAGACTGCTAGCTGCTTTTCAAGTCAACAATGTATGTTTAATACTGCTAAATGCATTTCTTTCCTTTGGGGTACAGTCAAGTACAGGAACTTACAGGGCAACTGAAGAAAACTTGCTCACAGTATATATGTATGTCTGCATATATGTAACACATACTTCTCTTACGATATGCTTGATTTCTGTACCAGTTTGGGTTTTTGTTAAGATTTGTTTTACCTATAAAAACCCATGGATCTTTAAAGAAAACTGCCATGTGTTGTGGTATTTATTACAGGAAGACTTACCTGAGATAGAAAATGATTGTGACTTGTCTGAAGTCATTGCAGCCCAAACTCAGAAACAAAGTAAATTTATGCATTACAAAATATGTCCATATCGTATTAAACTTGAAATGTTAACATGGTTTTTACCATGCAGGCTGAATGCAGAATTCAATTATATATCATTTTTCTAAAGTGAAAACTTTCTTTTTTAAGTTAACTTTGGAAAATGCCTTGAGTTGGGGGAGGGTGTGTTGAAATAGGGGTTTTTTTTGTTTGTTTGTTTTTTATGTAGCTGGTACTTTTCTCTCAGTCTAGCTCAAAGCCATTCCTTTCTATGTTTTGTTATGAAAATATGTTTGTGTTTAGTTATTTGGTCTTGTAGTATTAGAATTAAGTCACTTCGTGTAATACAAATTGGCAAACTATATACTGTATAGTTTGTTGCTTTCGACATAAGGAACTGTGTTCTTAATACATTTAACAGCTTAACATTTTTTTCCACTTGAAATAATATTTTCAGTTACTTCATACTTGACCTAAAGTGGAAGAGGAAAAGAAGTAAAAAATATCTTTGATATGCATGCCATCTAAAAAGTCATGCACTTCACTGGCCTGGTGATTTCCAGACCAACATTACTGAGAATACAGGTTTTTGTTGTATTTTCAAAATAAACGTCTGGCAACATTTACTTTTTAAAATAATTTACCTAGCAAGATATCATTTTATTAGTTTCCTTAACTTTAAAATTTTATAGTACTTGAATTTTATAGTATTTGAAATTGGGTGTTTCAGCAAGACTACAAATCAAAATAGTAGTTTCAGAAGATACTGTATAGTTAGACACCATCTTTTTTATAAATTGCCTACAAAGACAAAATATGCACAAGACCGCAATAGTTCTCTTGGAGGAAACACTCTAAAAGGTTTTGACTATTTCAAATTGGCTTTCTCCCTTGTTTACAGTTTAAGGCATGATAAGTACTTTTAATCTAAAATAAGTGAAATATATTTAGTAAACTATTACTTAAACATCGGGGTTCAGTATAAAACTTAACAAATTTTTGGATTAAGTCACTTTGTGTAATACAAAATTTCAAAAGTTACAGATATCACATTACTTAAATCATAATTTCTTTTGAACTGTAGAGATTTTTTTAAATGAGGAAAGAACACATTAAAGTGGTTCAAGAAAATAAAATGGAGTGCATACAAGAATAGAGTATACTTTAATGTTTAGCATATCAGACACAAACTTTCTGTAAAAACATGTAACCGTCCATTTGTTAATTTTTTTTTTTGAGCTGGAGAAATAGTTTCCAAGAGCACAGTTTGCTTTCACAGTTGAACACGGAGCAGTCCCAGTAGTTTAGTCAGGCAGCTTATATTGCAGATTCACTATCAAATATCTTACTTTTTAAGGTCTGTAGGTTGTGTTGGATAAAATTCTCGGTGCCCTGAGCTTCAGAGAACCTGGAGTCACTTCTTCTAACAGACCAGTTTTTCATTTTTATTGAATTCTGAATTGTGTCTGAAGTGAAGTAGTAAACAATGGGGTCAAAGCAACAGTTGGACACAGCAATGCAGAGAGTGATCGGGTACATTGTCCTCACTGCAGCCACCACAGAACAGTTAACAAATGTCTGTGTTCTCATGAGAGAGTATAAAATAAGATTGATGTTATAGGGCACAAAACAGAAACAGAATATGACCAAGTGCACAAAAATCATTTTTAAAACCTTAGTTTTGTTCATTTTGCTTCTACTTAATGTAACAGGTTTGTTTAAAGTTCTTAGCACCATACTAGAACAAGTTACGTTCAAAATTAGGGGGATGAAAAACCCCACTATTTCAATGAAAATCACAATCCTGGAGAGATAGGTTTTCCATGTGGCTGCTGGGAAGTTCTCAAAGCAGGCTTCTGAGGTACTGTTACCCTGAGAGTGGGTCGACTGAAAGAAAACTGCGGGCGCACTTCCTCCCATCACGGTGAGCCACACAGCAACGCAAACAACCTTTGCATTGCGTTTAGTTCTTAAGGTCTTCGACTTAAATGGGTAGACAATTGCCAGGAATCGATCTACACTGATACAGGTTAAGAACAGAATGCTTCCATACATGTTGGTGTAAAACAGCATTACTGAAATCTTACAGAGTAGATCTCCAAAAGGCCAATTCCGTGTTGCAAAGTAAAAAATCCGAAATGGCAAAGTAAAGACGAAAAGCAAATCTGACATTGCCAGGTTAATCATGTACGTTGTAGTTTCATTTCGCACTTTGAGGGCACAGATGAAAATGTATATCGCAACACAATTGGATATCAGCCCCAGGACAAACACCATGCTGAACATGCACCCATACAAAGTGTACTTAAAGGAGTCATCATAGGGGCAGTGGGAGCCGTTGGAGCTTACCATGGTCAGGCAGTGCGGCTTACAGGGGTCCTTTTGTCTGCAGCAGTTCCCTTTGCTTTTCAGATGTGGTGTTGGTATTCAGACGGCGCAGCAAAGACCGATTTATTTGCAAATTATTTGTTTCTTTTCGTGTTCTTATAAATATTTTCTTCTCTGAAATCTTCAGAGAAAACATGAAGCGTGTTGCTGAAAAGTTTCTAGTAGATCCTTCAGGAAAATAGTCTCATTTTCTGTTCTCTAGAAAATCCATGAGTCCAGAATTTAGTTAACTGACAGACCACGCACTCAAGGAAGCCAACCCATAGAGCTGCAAACATAGGAAAAGCTGTTTCTAAGTTGGTCACAACCAATCCTCCTGTAAACTTGTACTTCAGCCGTCAGGGTGAATATTCCAAATTAAAATGTCTTTATGTTCAAAATGTTGAAGCTTAAGTTACCAATCTTCAGAGTCTTAAACACTCCCAGTCCGTCGTCCCGTGGCACTTCTTTCTTCCTTTTATTCTTCGTCGTCGTGTTTCTACATTGATTCCAGATGGCGATAGGCAGAGTCTTTAAAGGTTCCCAGATAAATTCCTAAGCATGTTAGCTCTTGCTGAATGGAGGCCTTTCTGAGGTTGCCAGCTGCATTGTGAGATGGGCTGTCTCTGAAGTGAGCTGGAGAGGCTTCCTACATTTGTAATATGACATCACAGGAAGAAGAGGCTGGGTTTGGACAAAGGAAGGCTTCAACCCAGTTGTTTGCAGTTCCTTTAATCTGATAATGTGTCTGCTGGGAATATACCTAGGAGGCTTGCAAAGGGTCACTGGTTGTCCAGCTGTGCTAGGCATTAACTCTTTTTATGCCAAAATGCCTTCTGGGGATTCTGGCAACCTCTCCAAAGTGGTTTGCTTGTTTTAGTTAGGGATAGCTAAGAGAAAGAAAGAAATGTATCAGATCTAGGCAGATTCTTTCTTACTGTTTTTGTATTCAGGCTATTGACTTTTTTAAAGGAATAAAATGTAGATGGATGTGTATTTGTAAACTGAAATCCTTAGTGATATGAGTGGACATTTTAAAGAACTATTTCATGACTGAAGGCAAGACCTTAAGAATTTATATGTTAAAAGAATTTGAATGAAAGACTGGCAATTCTGCAACTTGTGACTTCTGTTTTGTTTTTCTTTTAAATTACTCTTCAAGATTTAACTTAATTGGCATGATTGTGAGTAGCTTTAATCCTGGATCTCTTTAGTTTTTTATAAATATTGTTCTAACATTTCTCCTTCTTTAAACTAATATCCTAGAGTTATTTCAGTTTTTAATACAGCAAAGACTACATTAAGAATGTTTATTTTCCTGGGGGATTATAGCTAAGTGGTAAGGACAGTACACCCCCAAAACTTTTGCTTTTGGTGCAGTATCAATCTTATTTGCCCATGACTTAAGTATAAGCCTCATGGAAAAGTATACTTTGTATAAAGGGCTCCTTCCCCCTAAATTGAGTAAATACTTACTACTTCCCTACATTTAGGTTCAGGTTTTTATTCTCATTTCTCCTGTCTCTTCCTTTAGCTTCTTCCACATGTTGGCTGTGTGTTGGGATATATTTCCGATCTTACTTTCATGTCTAAGTTTAGTTCCTTTGGAGCTGAAAATCTTCATTTGGGGTCAGTTAAGGCATTTAAGAGCAAGTTTCTCTGCACACCCCTTAGTTTAAATGTTACAGTGTCATGTGTATACCTTTTAAATTCAAGTTACTGTAATGCCCAACAAATTTTTCTTGGGGTGGGGGGTTGAAACAGGGTTTGTCTGTGAAGCCTTGGCTGTCCTGGACTCACTTTGTAGATCAAGCTGGCCTGGAACTGACAGAGCTCCACCTGCCTCTACCTGCCTGAGTGCTGGAATTACAGGCTTGGCACCACCATGCCCAGCTATGCTTAACAACTTTTGATGGTGACTCCTAAACTGTTTTTATTGTTTTGATTAGGAATTTATCTGTGATCAAATAATACAGTATTACTTCTAGCCAGTAAAGACTGAGGGTCTGAATTTCTTTGTATTGCTTTTGGTGTGGTGTTCTTATTAGAGGATAGGAACTCGGTGCAGTAATGAACAAAGGAGCAATTAATAACATTTTCTTCTCAACAAAGAAAAATTTTGTTAGTAATTATTTTAGGAAAAATACAAAGTCTGAGTGATCTACTTATTGTCATTTTTACCTAATAAAATATATACAGCTCTGTGCCCTGGTACTGTCCACTTTTACCTTCATTTTGAAAACGGTACTTTCTCAGTTAAATTATGAAAACCTATTAGTTCTATACTGAAACATCCTTCTACATATTATTCCTGTTTCTTGACTGTATTCACTTAAATGTTCATTTATAGTTTTTTATGTTTTAATTATTGATGCTTAAAATGAATATTTACTGTCATTTACTAGTATAGATTCTTTATGCATGAGTAAAAAGAGTGCTGTAGGCAATAAAATAATGACAGCATGTATCTTTTTCTGAGAGGGAGAGTATGAAAGTGCACCCCAAAAAGAAGCCATACACCTCCTTTCCTGTGCTGTCACTTCACTCCTGCTCCTGTGGGGAGTCTGGCTCCTTGGCTGTAAAAGAAAGGAATTAGGCTTTACAAAGTTCCCTTCCTGCTTCCTATTTGGTTCAGATTCCTTGAATTCCTTGAATGTTTAAATTGTCACGTTAGGCTTTTTCATTCTTCGGTATCAAGGAGTCCCTCTTTACCGAAGAATTTGTAATTTTGAAACTAGTCTGGACAAGAAATGTGTACCACAGAGAAGAGAGAGCAGGAGCAGGAGGGAGAAGTATTTCTAAGTAGCAGAATAGCTAGGCCAAGTAGAAGTTTCTTATTATACTGAGTAAATCAGCAGGAGCTACATGCGTACACTAAAAGGCCGACTCATTCCAGCACTCCCAATCTCAGCCAGTTAATTTGGTGAGACCCTGGTAGAACCACAGGAAGTCTGATGCAGCGGGGGGAGGGGCTGAACCCAGAAATAGCAGTAAGGGCCCAGGCCTTTAAAAGGGTAGATGAGCACCTCTGGCCCCACCAGTAGTACCCTGAGGCTGTGAGGTGGGGGGGGGGGGCGGCAGGGAACAGGACGGGATGGGACAACAGTTTGGTGATTTGTGTCTATAATTCCAGCACTCCACAGGCTGAAGGTAGAAAGATGAGATGTTTGAAGCCAGCCTGGACTACATAGTGAGTTCAGCAAGCTATACCGGTGATCTCAAAAAAGAAAGGACCATCTCTAAGCTGGTGAAAGCTAGAGCCAGTGTCCACAATAATTAGTCCTGGTATAGTCTCATTAGTATAGTCCTAATACCTTTCATGTCTAAATATATAGAAAGTTATTTATTCTTTGAAGAATACTAGATAATCTAGTCCTGCCCTAAATTTTTTTAAGGGCAATACAGGGAATGCCTTGGGACATAGGGTTTAATGAAATCTCAGTAAACGATGACAGTTACCAAGTGGGTTGCAGTTTTCAAAGATCTTGCAACTGCTTTGGAAGAAGTAAGAAGTAGTAGAAAGGCCAAGTAAACTAGATTCTTAGTGACCTGCTTTTTAGTCTTTGTTAATAGAAATTTGACCTTGTTTCAAATAATTTAATTTTTCTGTTATAGTTGTAAGAAGACAGTATTGAATTAGAGCTCTAGAATCGTTTTCAGTCCTTAGCCTTCTATTTTAAAATTTCAAAAAAGAAATTTGCAACTGAAGAAATTTGAATTTAGAGTTATGATTTGCTTAGGATTGCACAGAGGGTAGATGGTGGAGGATAACAAAGCTGGAGCTAAAATAGGCCCTTGCTGTAAGTACTCAACCCAGTTCCTTATACATGTTTGTCAAGTGAAAAAAAAAAAATGCAGTTCTCTAAATAGTGGAAAGAAGCCTAATCTTGAGCTATGAGGATTTTGGGTTCCTAAACTTGGACTTTTTCCTTGGACAAAATCTACCCTAACCATGCCCTTCTTGACTTTATAGATGGTTTTTAGGACAAAATTAAGTGAAATAGATTTTGATTGTAAAACACAAAACAAACAAACACCTAGTATAGATGCAATAAGCCACAGTAACCTAATCTTTCAGATACAGGTTAAATTGTAAGATGACATAGAGCAATGACTGTTGTTTCATTACTTTTTACTGAGCAGATAAGAGCTTCTCTGCTTACTGCATGGTCCCAAGTGATGCCATGTGTACACGTTGTTCTGATTGTGGGTAACAAGCCAGTCTTAAAGTAGATGGAGGCTTGCCCATCCATGTACTTTAAAAAAGTAGTTGAGATGAGAAAGACTGCTTCATTTGAGCTAGTCATTGAGTACCTTGCACCTGAGAGTAGTTAGAACTCTTTGATGTTGAAATAGAACTTCATCATAGAACCTGAGAGTAGTCCGCTCAAGCCCATTACACAATGCTGTTTTCTTTTTTCCCCCTGTAATTCCAAGTGCTTCAGTCACTCAAGATCAGCTGGAGAAGCCGCCTGTGAGAAGCAAATTTTTAACTGTGGTTGTTTATTGCCAGAAATGCATTCCAATCCTAGTTTCTTGGCACTATATCATGTAGCTTCATGATTTTTTTTTCCTGAAAGAATATTTGAAATTTAGATCAAAGCTTAGGAAAATATCAAGTAAATAATACACAGAGAAACATTATCTTGAAAAACAGAAAGAGAGAGAGAGAGAGAAAGAAAGAAAGAAAGAAAGAAAGAAAGAAAGAAAGAAAGAAAGAAA